TGTGACCCCATGGACCAGAGCACGCCAGGCACTCCTGTCTTCCACTGCCTCCCGCAGTTTGGTCAGACTCATGTTTGTAGCTTCAAGAACAGTGTCCAACCATCTCGTCCTCTGTCGTCCCCTTCTCCTTGTGCCCTCCATCTTTCCCAACATCAGGGTCTTTTCCAGGGAGTCTTCTGTTCTCATGAGGTGGCCAAAGTATTGGAGCCTCAGCTTCACGATCTGTCCTTCCAGTGAGCACTCAGGGCTGATTTCCTTAAGAATGGAGTGGTTTGATCTTCTTGCAGTCCATGGGACTCTCAAGAGTCTCCTCCAGCACCATAATTCAAAAGCATCAATGGACAACATCCCCTTCATGGATCACTGCCTTGTCGTGGCGAAGGGGCTTGAATAACTCAGAGAAGCTATGAACTATGCTGAGCAGGGCACCCAAGATGAACAGGTCGTAGTGGAGAGTTTTGACCAAACGTGATCCACCTGGAGGAGGAACCAGCAAGCCACTCCAGTATCCCTGCCAAGAAAACTCCATGGACAAAGACAACAGGCAAATTAGGTAGTTTCTCATAAAAATTCAGACAAAACTGATTTTTTCCTCCCATGCCTAGTACCGTTCCTGGCTGTTGCCTGACACACACCTGCAAGTTCTGCACAAGTAGGAGGCCCTCTGAAGATGACCTCAACAGAGGAACACAGTGGGTAATATAACTTTCCCCCTGAATTTCTACCTTTCCTTTGGGCAAGCAGGTCCGAAAGGTGGCCTGTAATTAAAATACATGGCAGCAGTATCAACTTCAGCCAATAAAACAACCGGATTGTTTCCACCAGAAGCCTCTGAGTTCAGTATTGACAGCCCAATTGTTTGTACAACTCTTTTCCAGCTGTGATCAGACATTGGACTTTCATCCCCTGGTGAAGCCTTTTTCAACTCTGCAAGCGTTTTAAGACATCTCTGATTTTATACTGAGTTCTTAACTGGTTCTGTCTCTATTGTATTTGTTCAGCTTACAGTACAGTTACAATTTTCAGAGGAAAATATCATTTTGAATGACATACCTACTATATGAAATTTGGCAACTGGACAACATGAATGGATTCTTCGTACCCTTACTACGGTTGGAAAGATAATAATTCAGTCAAAGGATGAAGATATGACTAGACTCACAACATATGAATGCATTGTTAATAGACGTAGACATGTATGGACAAGTATAATTATATTTGGAATTCTAGATTCAGGTAGGTCACCATGTTGGTCTAAGGCAGTTGAAATAAATTAAAAAACACCCTTATATATAGTGGGAGGGTGGGGTCTGGTGACTTCTGTTTCAGTGTATCTGAAGAAGTATGCGTGCACACGAAAGCTTATACCCAGAACAAACTTAGTTGGTCTCTAAGGTGATACTGGACAATTTGTTAATTTTTTTATATTTGGAATGAGTTTATAAAAAACACAATAGGTTATAAATAATCATATATGTATTTGGATAATAATATTTATATACAGAGGTACCTCGGGTTACATACGCTTCAGGTTACAGACTCTGCTAACCCAGAAATAGTACCTCGGGTTAAGAACTTTGCTCCAGGATGAGAACAGAAATTGTGCTCCAGCGGCATGGCAGCAGCGGGAGACCCCATTAGCTAAAGTGGTGCTTCAGGTTAAGAACAGTTTCAGGTTAAGAACAGACCTCCGGAACAAATTAAGTACTTAACCCGAGGTATCACTGTACCTCTATAGTAGACAAGCATAGAGGGGATTGTTGCTGTTGTTGTTTAATCGTTTAGTCATGTCCGACTCTTCGTGACCCCAGTTGTTTGTATATAGTGATATATAATATACCTTTTTAATTTTATTTTTGTTTTTGCTTTTTAAAAACTTTCTATTTCTATTTTATTTTGTTCAACTGAAATATTTTAAATAATAAATCAATAAATACAGCTTACGGTAACGACAATTTTAATTAAATTATTTATAAATTGAGTAGCACCAAGTTAAAAAAAAAGAGGAATGTAAATGGGTAAAACTGATGGTAACTGCAGCCAGACAGGTTATAGTGAGTAACTGGAAAAATGCAGAACAGCTGGGGGTGAACCAAGGGAGGAAAAAACTGAATAATGTTATAATTTTAGAATATCTAACTGTGAAGATACACAGAATGAAAGAGTTTAAGGTCAGTGAGAAAGAGGAGGATTGGTTTGAGAAGATATTGAATTATTTGGGTAGGTTTGAACAATTTGGGGCAATTAAAATGTTAAAGGTTAAATAAACCCTGTGGATGGAGGAGTGTTAATGTATATAAAATTGTAAATATGGTTGATTTGAATGTGTTATTATTGATTATGTATACCCAATGTGTCAGACGCCTGGGGGGTTTCACTGTTTGTGTTTTGGTCGTTGGTAAAAAATAAAAATTTTAAACATTACTTAAAAAAATTAAAAAATAAATTGTCAAAATAAATAAATAATTTCCCTTCTTTTAAAACGTTTTTAATAATTCTAGAAAAAATATATGTTAACCATTTCAGCTGCATCAAACAATCTCGTCTTCCATCAAAAGTATATGTGCAAAAGTGAATCGGTTGAATACTCCTGATCCTGTTAAGCTGCTTTTTCAAAGCCTGCAATGAGCACATGGATACCATGCAGAGCTTCGGATGACATTCATTTCCCAGCCACCTGAGGTTTGGCTGCATCTCCTCTTCCTAACCCAAATACATATGTTGGTTTAATGACACCATAGACTTGTGTATTTATCGTTTAAGAAATGTACATCCCACCCTCTGCCACATGTCCACAGGGCGGGTATGGAAAAACACAAAACCAACATGCACAAATCACTAGAGCTCCAATTAAAATTAGAAGTGTATAATTCAGTCCTTTCCCTGATAACAATTCACATCAGAAGTCCCTGCTATTGTTCAAAGGCCCCTTCAAGCAGAAATGTCTTATCCTGACATTTCCAAGGAAGAGACTGGCCTGATATGGGGAGTTGGGGTGTTCCATAACTAGAGCACTCCAGCCAAGAAAACTCCTATAATCGCTAACAGAAATTCTTCAGGCCTTTTTTGATATACAGTGGTACCTCGCAAGACGAATGCCTCACAAGACAAAAAACTCGCTAGACGAAAGGGTTTTTTGTTTTTTGAGCTGCTTCGCAAGACGGAAACGTCTTGCAAGTTTGTTTCCTTTTTCTTAACACCGTTAATACAGTTGCGACTTGACTTCGAGGAGCAACTCATAGAACGCGGTGTGGTAGCCTTTTTTGAGGTTTTTAAAGACTTTGGTGATTTTTGAAGCTTTTCCAAAACTTTCCCGACACCGTGCTTCGCAAGACGAAAAAAATCACAAGACGACAAAACTCACGGAACGAATTAATTTCGTCTTGCGAGGCACCACTGTACTTGTTTTAAACATCTTTTCTATTTGGTCATGTATCATTTCCCCAAATACCCTCACTTTCTTGCAAGTCCACCACATATATATACAGTGGTACCTCGGTTTAAGAACAGCCCTGTTTACGAACTATTCGGTTTATGAACTCTGCAAAACCGGATGTAGTGTCCCGGTTTGTGAACTTTACCTCGGTCTAAGAACAGAATCCAAACGGTGGAAGGGCACCAGCGGCGGAAGGCCTCATTAGGGGAAGCGCGGCTCAGTTTAAGAACGGTTTCGGTTTAAGAACGGACTTCCGGAACGGATTAAGTTCGTAAATCGAGGTACCACTGTATACTGTATTTTTCCGTCTATAAGACGCCCCATGTATAAGACACACCCTATTTTGGGGGACTCTGATTTAAGAAAATGGGGGAAGATGACCCCATGAATAAGACGCCCCCAAATTTTTGACATTATTTTTTTAGAGGAGGGGGACCTAGTCTTATACATGGAAAAATACGGTATATATAAAAGATCCACCTACCTTGTTTACACTTCCAGCAACTGTTAGGAACTTCTTATACATTTTCTATAGTCATACCTTGGATCCCAAACGCCTTGCGAGTCGAACATTTTGGCTCCCGAATGCCGCAAACCCAGAAGTGAATGTTCTGGTTTACGAACTTTTCTTGGAACCCAAACATCTGACGTGACTTCCACAGCTTCCGATTGGCTACAAGAGCTTCCTGCAGCCAATCGGAAGCTGCGCCTTGGTTTCCAAAGGTTTTGGAAGTTGAACGGACTTCCAGAACAGATTCCGTTCGACTTCCAATGTACCACTGTAATTTGTTTTGTGTTAAGAATAACACTTAACACCAGGCTACACACATTTGTTTTAAGGCCCTAAAATGTTGCTACAACACTGTCCTATAGGTTATCATCCTATATGTACCCACTGGGGACTATTGGCACAAGCCTAACCATTTCTACTCAAAAGTAAATCCTATTGAATTCAGGGAGGCTCACAGGACCTTACTTCTCAGGTGTCCTGTACAGGATTGTAGCACTATCCTGTTTTCATTGATTGGCAGGGGGCTAATCATATCTAAAGGGACGCGGGTGGCGCTGTGGGTTAAACCACAGAGCCTAGGACTTGCCGATCAGAAGGTCAGCGGTTCAAATAACCGCGACGGGGTGAGCTCCCGTTGCTCGGTCCCTGCTCCTGCCAACCTAGCAGTTTGAAAGCACACCAGTGCAAGTAGATAAATAGGTACCGCTCCTGCGGGAAGGTAAACACCGTTTCCATGCGCTGCCCTGGTTCGCCAGAAGCAGCTTAGTCATGCGGGCCACATGACCCGGAAGCTGTACACCGGTTCCCTCGGCCAGTAAAGCGAGATGAGCACCACAACCCCAGAGTCAGTCACGACTGGACCTAATGGTCAGGGGTCCCTTTACCTTTAATCATATCTAACCTCACTGAATGGTGCTTGATCTAGATATCACGCCATCATTATTTTTGTTCTAATGAAGAGAACAACTTTGAGTCAGGCAAAGAGACATCATGCTAGATGCATCTTTTGAGCAGTGCCATTAGATTTACAGAGTGGATTAATCTGTTTGCACGTCACTCACAAAGACCCGAGAGTGCTGTAGAAGGCCGGTTGTTATCTTCCTGGTTGCCATTGCAGGGCCATTTATGGCATTTCCTTACTGCAGCAAACTCCCGGAGCAATTTGGAGTGGAAGGACAGCACTTGAAAGGATAAAGGGAAATCCTCATAATTGTGTTTACTGTTTCCGACAGATAAAACGCCAGGATTCTGACACCAAATGGAAACCAATCTTGTCTTTTGGTCTTGCTCCAACTCTGTGAAAAGAGGAAAATAAATATGTTGTAAAAGTATCTAGAGAAAGATCTCTCCGCTCAACTAAGTTGGTTTTGTCTATTACGACACCAGTCGGAAAGACTCTCTCTGTGTTTATGGTAAAATTAATGCATTATATTAACATGAATGAATGAAAACAAAAATGGGAGACATTTCAGGAAAACATATTTTCATGATTATTGAGAAAGCAATATAATCCATCCAAATATGCAATATTGTTTTACTACAGTGTGTGTGTGTGTGTGTGTGTGTGTGTGTGTGTTTGTGTGTCTTCGTTTATGGGAAGTTAATGTGAATAATGACCAACCATTGTGCACACTCACCAGGTCTCATGAAGAATGTGCACTTAACCCTCCCACAAAGAGGAAATTGTGCACAATTCCCACTCAATGTATATTATCTGCAACAGGCCTAGGAGAATGTTCATACAGCACCTGAATTTTCTACAGCATACATAATCTTCAATAGGCTTTGGGAAATGTGCATATCTTGATTGCATTTTGAGCATACTTGGGGCAATGTGCACATTCCACAGACAGTATGTATAATATCTGAGAAGCATTGTCTATTTCTTGTTCTGAAGTGCACAGGGCTGCTTTTAACCCACTGCCTGATTTTACATGGTCCACAACATACCCTCTCACTGATAAGCCAGGCAGCAGAAGGAAGGGTGTGTGTGTTCCAGATAATGATTGTTTACTTATTTTATATCCTACCTTTCATCCAAAAGAGCCGTTTTCTGCACCCTAGTCCCATCACCTCCTGGCAAATAGAAAGGGAAGAAATGGAGGCAGTGAGAGACTTTACTTTCTTGGGCTCCATGATCACTGCAGATGGTGACAGCAGTCACGAAATTAAAAGACGCCTGCTTCTTGGGAGAAAAGCAATGACAAACCTAGACAGCATCTTAAAAAGCCGGACCTTAAAGAAGGCTGATCGCCGAAGAATTGATGCTTTTGAATTACGGTGCTGGAGGAGACTCTTGCATGGACTGCAAGAAGATCAAACCTATCCATTCTGAAGGAAATCAGCCCTGAGTGCTCACTGGAAGGACAGATCCTGAAGCTGAGGCTCCAATACTTTGGTCACCTCATAAGAAGAGAAGACTCCCTGGAAAAGACCCTGATGTTGGGAAAGATTGAGGGCACAAGGAGAAGGGGACGACAGAGGACGAGATGGTTGGACAGTGTTCTCAAAGCTACCAGCATGAGTTTGACCAAACTGTGGGAGGCAGTGGAAGACAGGAATGCCTGGCGTGCTCAGTTCCATGGGGTCACGAAGAGTAGGACACGACTAAAGGACTAAACTACAACAGTTCCACTTTAACCATTCTGACCTGTTCCGCAGCACAAGCGGGATTGCAGAGAGGAGAGAGATTTACACCTCCCCTTCAGCTCCTGTGATTTTAATGGAAATCCCTATTAAGCACAGGAGAGTAGCAGCATGGATCAATCATCACAGGGGAGGAGAGATTTGGCCAGCTAAATAAGGGCCACCCAGCAGGAAAAAGGGGGCTGGAAGATAAAGAGGCTGGGATAGCTCAGTCGGTAGAACACGAGACTCTTAATCTCAGGGTTGTGAGTTTGAGCCCCACAATGGGAAAAAGATTCCTGCATTGCAGGGGGTTGGACTAGAGGACCCTTGTCGTCCCTTCCAGCTCTCCAGTTCCATGAGTCTATACCTTTGATCCTAGGTAAAGGTAAAGGGACCCCTGACCATTTGGTCCAGTCGCGGACGACTCTGGGGTTGTGGCACTCATCTCGCTTTATTGGCCGAGGGAACCGGCGTACATGTGACCAGCATGACTAAGCCGCTTCTGGCAAACCAGAGCAGCGCACAGAAACGCCGTTTACCTTCCCGCTGGAGCGGTACCTATTTCTCTACTAACACTTTGATGTGCTTTCGAACTGCTAGGTTGGCTGGAGCAGGGACTGAGCAAAGGGAGCTCACTCCGTCACGGGGATTTGAACCGCTGACCTTCTGATCAGCAAGCCCTCGGCTCTGTGGTTTAACCCACAGCACCACCCGCATCCCTTGTGTTCCTGCTCACTGCCATTTCAAGATTCTCTTGGAGTAATTTCAGCAGTTGTCAGCAGAATGGAGCAGGGAGGCTGGGGTTGTGCCTGGCTCCCCAGCGGCCAAGCATCACCGCTGCCACCGTGCACATCCTCTCAGGGCACAACTGATGGCTTCCTGGAGGATTCTTAAAAACAGAGAGGTCAATTCACTGACCTGCACCCCATTCAGCCCCCCTGAGTCGCCATTTTCATTTTGCACAGAGTAGAGTCTACCTGTGGGGAGAAGTCAAAGGGTGCCTGCCATCAACTGGGACCAATTTAGAGCGCTGTGCTTGCTGCTTGTTACTGCTGACCCCCCCTGAGAAATAGGATGGAGCCCACCAGAGGACACTGTGCAAAGCCCCCCCCCCAAAAAAAACCTGGCGCTGGCTCTGACACTACTGCTCCTCTGATCTAAATTGCCCACCCCCTCCAGCGTGCTGTTTTTAAGGCTGTTTGGGATTTTATTGCAAGCATCTGTATGTAACATTGCACTAGGCCCTGATGTAGACACGACATTCAAGTTCTGGCTGAAGTGGAGAACTTTAGAGAGGCAAGCCCAGAAGAGTGTTATGTCCACTGTCTGAGAGCAGAATCCCATGGAGGGGTGGAAACAGCAATCTAGGACAGCTGTGAGTATGCTTAGTATTAATATCAAATACGACGGTAATTCAAAACAGAATCTTCTGGGTACAGATCTGAGCTGTGGAAGCCAAGTTATGAAATGATATTAGCATCTGGATCTTAGAGGCAACGGAGGAACAGCCTGCCAGCATTTGCCATATGTCCCATCTGTAGAGAATATTTAAAATACGTAAACACAACGAGTTAATAAAGAGAGTTGCAAGATAAATACTTCTCCCTGTTCTAGTGGCATGGCAAATTATCAAAACAGCCAAGTCCAAATGGAAAGTCTGAAACGGAGGAAAGCAGATGTAAAATGGCAGAAGTCTCTCCTTTTTATACCCCTTATCTGATTTCGAGACGCCAGCAAACATTTGTGATATGCTTATCTTGTGATAAAGGGTTTTTAAAAAGATGTTGTTGCCAAAGGTCTCTCGGATTGTTCCTAAAAAGTGTGGGGTGGCATTATCTTATTGTGAATTGAATTCTTTTCCTGGGCTATTCTTTGCTTTCCAATGCAAGCGATGCTCATCTTAACAGCTGCCTTGGTTATCTTTATAGAAAGGCAGGACATAAATGCAAGAGAGAGACAGGTAGAAACTTGTCATGCTAGATGCTTTTCAATGAGTTTAAAAGTTAATGATTTTAATGACTATCTCTTATTGAATTTATGTTGTTTCTACTTTACTTTCCTAAGGCTCATGGCGGCTTCCAGAAAACTTAAACAATAAAAGTATCAATAAAAACAAATGTACAACAAGATTCAGTCAGCACAATCGAGTCAACAGACGGACCACAGCAGCCATGCAGCAATCATGGGAATTTTGGAAGAGGAAGATTTTGTAAGCTTTCCAAAAAGTCAGAAGACCCCTTCTACTCAATTTGGCTCTTGCCTTGTTATCATTAGACTCAAATTTAAACAATAACCTTAAATGCAAAGATTTTAGTATTTTTTTTTCTATTTCAGCAGCCCAAATAACAATAGCCAAATTCTGGAAACAACCTATAGAAATCCCCACTGAAATCTTTATTTGGAATGTGGCTCTATCGGAATGCTTTATTCGCCACAGAAAGGCACTTCAAGGTTAAACACTTGACTTCCATTCTTTTCCTTTATAAATGAGACAGAAGATACTTTTATTCCACCCACAACACAAGAATCTCTGTGGAGAGGATACTTGAATTGATAATGCATAAATAAACTTATTACTTGTGTACGGCATATGAAACTTAATGTACCATTGGACAAGCTACTGCAGTTATATATTGTTCTTGTATTTACATGAAAACCAACAAAAAGTTGAAAGACTCAAGCAATCCTGATCCACCCATCCAGGTCATTCCCACAGCCTTGAGGAACCTGTGATCCTTGTGATGTTGGACCAACTCCATCATCAGTCTCAGCTGTCAGTCCCAAACTCGCCCTCCCACGACTGTCCACACTTTATGGGCAAACATCTGCAGAGGAGATCCTGCTGTATGTACATAGGCTGTCCTCCTGACTGGGAACCCTAACCACATAGGTTTCCCATCTTGGGGGTGAGCCTGCTACACATGGGTGGGCTGGCAAAGACCTATAGAACAAGCCAACCCTCTGAGGCAGATTTGGGGGTTCAGGGAAAGAGAAGAAAGAGAAGCCATGTTGTCTTTGCATGCACCGGCTTGCATGACTTCGGATCGCAGCCTGGTGCCCTTTCTACAATATATAGCAGGGGTAGGCAACCTAAGGCCCAGTCGCCGCCTCAATCTGGCCCGCGGACGGTCCAGGAATCAGCGTGTTTTTACATGTGTAGAATGTGTCCTTTTATTTAAAATGCATCTCTGGGTTATTTGTGGGGCCTGCCTGGTGTTTTTACATGACTAGAATGTGTGCTTTTATTTAAAATGAATCTCTGGGTTATTTGTAGGGCATAGGAATTGGTGTCTGTTTGTTTTTTCCAAAATATAGTCCAGCCCACCACATGGTCTGAGGGACGGTGGACCGGCCCACGGCTGAAAAAGGTTGCTGGCCCCTGATATATAGGCTCCATTCACAGATGCCCACCCTGATCTGGGAGCTGCTTCAGAACCCATATTGCTGCAGCGTGAATACCGGGATCACTTGGTGATGGTAGTAGTGGTGGAATGGCATGGAGCCTTCTCATTAGATCTTTACCTGGCAAGGACAGAAAGTGGCGAACAGGTGGGAAGAACCCACACAACCGACCCCATCCAATATTGAAAAGCATAACATAGCAGCATGGAAAATTGGCTTCTGAGCCACCATCAGCATGTGGACTGACTTGGCCAGGTGGGCTGGACAAGTCATCTGTCAGTCATCTAATGTCATAATGCTGTCAGGTGATTGACAGCTGCTAAAAGCCCTGGTGGCTGTTTGGCATTTGGGAGGTACTGAATAAAGCATTTTGCAAGTCCCATAGGGCCGGCAAAGCACTTTGCACAGCAGTCGCTAAGTACCTGGCAGTCAGCTGATGGTCGGATGCTTGGGAAGTTCTGAATAAAGGGGCTTTCAAGCCACTACCAATTGGCCCCCTTTTAGCCAAGCTGTGCCACACCTCATGACAACAATTATGCCCAAATATGACAACAAATATGCCCAAAACAGCCTCACACCAAATGGGAGAGTCTGTCAGGTCAGATAAGGCCCACGGACCAGAGGTTCCTCACTCCTGACTTACAGGGATGAATGGTCATTATGAATCTTAGGGAACCAGGCTAATGAATCCTAAACTGTTTCTAAGACACCTTATAAAGTATCTTAGAATGTGAGCTAGAGTTGAAAACGCAAAATTACCTTCAAACCTGCAGGAGACAAATAGCCACACCATTTTTATTTCCATAGCTCTTTGTAAGCACCTGGCTGTAAACTGATGTGAGGAGGCAGTTTTCCTTGGGGTCATGAAATCATAGATTAATAGAGTCGCAGAGTTGGGACCCCAAGGGTCATCTAGTCCAACCCCCTGCAATGCAAGAATCTCAGCAGACGCATCTCTGACAGATGGTCATCCAGCCTCTGCTTAAAAATCTCCAAGGAAGGAGAGTCCACAACTTCTCAAGGGAGTCCATTCCATGGTCGAATAGCTTGTACTGTGTTCACCAGCTGAGCATTTGAATGTAGAAAAGCAATACCAAGGGTAGGCCTAAATAAGACAAACAGGGAGGTGAGAAGGAGGCCCGTTTCCAATTTTGTGTCAAATCTGAGATGGAGCAAGAATCCTAGTGAGATGCAAAAGACGAGCAGTTCATTTAACCACGTTTTGTTCTGGTTAGTCTTAAATAAGCAGAAACATGAATGTTCCTGAGATGGGGTTATAACCAGGGTGCGGGCAGAGCCTCATAGCTCAGTTTTATGCAATCGATTGGGTCCCAGTACAAAATCTGGTTGGTCTTCTTCAACCAGGGCCGTCTTTACCCAGGGGTGCAAGGGGTGCGGGCCACCCAGGCGCCAAATTATGGGGGGCGCCAAATGTATACCTACTGTATACATTTCTGTATACTCTCTCGATTGGTGGCAGTGAAAAGCAATGGAGCGAAAGTCTCTGCCCCCCTCCTCCGTCACTCTGTTACTCTGTAGAGTCAAATATTTCCGCTGAGTCAGGAAACAAAAGCAGTTTTTCCGTTGCGTTGTTGTTACAGGTGAGCGACCTCCCCCCAAAAAACTTTGAGTTTGCCCCCCCCTAAAAAGATCAGCAACTTTGGCTTTCCCCCCCTCCCAAAAAAGCTGAATACAAGTTAATTTGGGGGTGGCTAAACTAAATTTTGGGACACCGGTGGCGCTGTAGGTTAAACCACAGAGCCTAGGACTTGCCGATCAGAAGGTTGGCGATTCGAATCACCGCAACGGGGTGAGCTCCCGTTGCTTGGTCCCTGCTCCTGCCAACCGAGCAGTTCGAAAGCACGTCAAAGTGCAAGTAGATAAATAGGTACCGCTCCAGCGGGAAGGTAAATGGCATTTCCGTGCACTGCTCTGGTTCGCCAGAAGTGGCTTAGCCATCCTGGCCACATGACCCGGAAGCTGTACGCCAGCTCCCTTGGCCAATAAAGCGAGATGAGCCAGCCACGACTGGACCCAACGGTCAGGGGTCCCTTTACCTTTACCTAAACTAAATTTGGGAGCGCTGGGTGGGTCTTTGCACCCCAGCAGCGTGTATGCTAAAGACGACCCTGTCTTCAACTCTTGCACCTTTAAAGTCATGGCCTATACTTGGTCTGATTGCGGGAAGCGTGTGGTTCTAGCCTCTGTTTTAGCAACACCACAGTTCCTGGATCAGCAAGAGGTTTGCCCTTTTTCTCTTAGGCATGACTTGAGTAGCAGACTCTGCCAATAAATAACATTTCACGATGCTGAAGTAATAGTGAAAAGAGAATGATTCAAGATGGATCTGCAGGGCAATCTGATACTGGCTTGGGGTTTCGCTTATTGCCAAGTCACCACTTTGCGCTTTTTAACCACTTGGAAACAAGTTTTGCTAAGCAAGGTTGATGAGCCAATGAGGCATCTTAAATTTGCAGCTTCTTGGAGCAAAGGAGATCACTGAGCGATGTGATAACATTGGCAGCGGAAAGTATGGTTCTCAAATTTTCGGCCAGCTTCCAAATGAATGAGCTGTTAATAAGGCAGAAAGGCTTCAGCCTCGCAGCAGGACCATCAAATGTTTTGCAGACCTTAACAAGATATTGAAACCGTTGGGTATTAGTATATATTTAAACATAGATTATACTTTAAAAGTCTTGATTAGTCACCTTCAGAGTAATGGTACATTTTATTTTATGGAAAATATTCAGTTAAATCATGATGTTCTTTTCAGAATGGGGCAGCTACCTGTTGTTTCTTATGCTTATAAAGAGCCAAGTAGTATAAGCAAATATAATAATTAGCAGCATGCATTTCTTTTTTTCTTTTTCTTTTTAAAATAATCTTTATTAATTTAAATTACACACATATACAAAGAATTTACAATCTCATACTACAAAAAGAAAATTAAAGAAAAAAGAATTTTAAAAAGAAAAGAAGAAAATACAGAAAAAAGAAAAAGCAGATTTACGGGTATAGAAAAACTTAATCTTCCTAATTAATACTTAAATAAACACTTAAATAAAAAAGACCTCTGACAAAACGAGTCTTCCAATCATTCTAATTGTACTGTTTACACTGTCGGTTTTTTTGCACAGTTTTATATTCTTTAATATTGTTCCCGTCTACCCCACAAACGCTATTTGTTGTGTTTACAAGTATCACTCAAGTTTTGCTGCAGCACGCATTTCTACTGAGTATTAAATAAATCTCTAGATTTTTAAAAAATGCTATATATGGCTTTTACAGTAATGTAAACCATATTGCACATTTTATATCTCTGGGATTTTTAATAAGACTCAATGAAATGGGAGTAGATCCGCTGAAATCAATATCACTATTGTTGGCATCTGCCTGTCTCAGGAGACAATGGAGATGTGCACCTTTGGGTGTGAAGTTAAACCACTGGAGAATTATAGGGCCTGCTGGGGCTGTAGAAATGGGAGATACATTTTTTGTTGCAGCTGGGGCAGATGTATCGTGGTGTTTCTTCTGTCTGTGTTCCTCCCAGTGGTCATTCCTCCACTGGAAAAGATGCTGACGGCCTAAATTTGAAGGAGCGCCTCCACCTCCATCGTTCTGCTCAGACACTGAGGTCCAGCTCCGAGGGCCTTCTGGCGGTTCCCTCACTGCGAGAAGCCAAGTTACAGGGAACCAGGCAGAGGGCCTTCTCGGTAGTGGCACCCGCCCTGTGGAACGCCCTCCCACCAGATGTCAAAGAGAAAAATAACTACCAAACTTTTAGAAGACATCTGAAGGCAGCCCTGTTTAGGGAAGCTTTTAATGTTTAATAGGTTATTGTATTTTCGTGTTCTGTTGGAAACCTCCCAGAGTGGCTGGGGAATTCCAGCCAGATGGGCGAGGTATAAATAAATTGTTGTTGTTGTTGTTGTTGTTGTTGTTTTCAACAGGAAGTGATCTGACCATGACATGGAACTGATGTCAATGTCCTCCACCTTCAGATCACCTTCTTCCAGGTCCAGAGTGCGGTCTGCCATGTACATTGGGCCGGTGACATGTTGGGACAGCCCCATGGTTGTCATGGCAGCCATGAAGTCCTGAGCCACCCCAGAGCCAGCTGTCTCGGCATGGATGTTGAAGTCTCCCAGAACCAGCAGTCTGGAATGGCAGTTCAAGTTGTGCGAGTACCTCGAACTTGCCAAAATGACTGAGTTAATAAGAAATCACTCAGGTGACAAGGTTAAAAAAAGAATGGGATTGCTTCAAAAACGACCTGATAAAACATGGTTACAAAAAACAACAACACTTGGTTGTGCCTAGATTAATTTCGCAGGTATAAGGTGATTTTCTTGTTTAGGACTTGAATACAGATTACGCAAAGGTAATAGTTGTGTTGAAGCCGCAAAGTTATAGAGGGAAGTCAATAAACATATAAGGGACTCAGACCAGTTTAGTAGAATAGGAAGAAAGTGACTGTAAGGGGGGGGGGGAGAAAAGAAGAAATATGAAGGTAACTTCTTTCTAGGAATTTTGTGTATAGAATACTCAAATTATGGTTTATACTCCATAAATAACTTTGTGTATTTGCCGAATACCTTTTTTTCTTTAAAGGTAAAGGTAAAGGGCCCCCTGACCATTAGGTCCGGTCTCAGACTCTGGGGTTGCGGCGCTCATCTCGCTTTATTGGCCGAGGGAGCCGGTGTACAGCTTCCAGGTCATGTGGCCAGCATGACTAAGCCGCTTCTGGAGAACCAGAGCAGCGCATGGAAACGCCATTTACCTTCCCGCTGGAGTGGTACCTATTTATCTACTTGCACTTTGACGTGCTTTCGAACTGCTAGGTTGGCAGGAGCAGGGACCGAGCAATGGGAGCTCACCCCGTCGCGGGGGTTTGAACCGCTGACCTTCTGATTGGCAAGTCCTAGGCTCTGTGGTTTAACCCACAGCGCCCCCGGCGTCCCTTTTCTTTAATTTTTTTTTTAAAATTGTATTTTTATTTTCTATTTCTATATATTTCTATCTGTATTTTTTTACTTCTTTTCAGTATATGTGGTGTAAGGATTAATCTATTTTTTTTCTTGTAAATTTTAAAAATGCAATAAAGTTTGATAAAAACAAAACAAAACCCAGAACCAGCAGTCTAGGAGTCCTCAACACCGCTTCCCAGACCAGCTCTGTCGGTTCAGGCAGAGAGACTGCTGGGCAGCGAGGCGGGCGGTAA